TTGGACGTTCGTCCATCTCTCCGGCAGGCCTGGCACGACGCACGCAACGACACCAACGACACCTGCATTCCTCCAAGCAGCAGTCCCTGGCGAATCAGACGGGTCACGTGCGGCGCAAGTCCCGCGCGCTCTCCTTGATATCGCCAAAGCAGAGTCCCAAGGATGCCACGACCGGATTCGATCCCGCCGCCGCCCACTACCAGGACCCAGAGGCCCGTCAAAAGCTCAAGCTCTACCTCGCATCTCCTCTCAAGTTTGATGAGGCTGTGCAGTACGGGTTCCCCTCAACGGAGGGCGCCGTCAAGGAGATGAAACCGTCGGAAGACGATGTCATCGTGCCCAAGATGCAGGAGAAGCCGCGTACGTTCCTCGCTGACGACAAGTCATCCATCTACAGTGACGAGATGTCAGCCGCGGAGACGGATTCACCAAAGACGCCCCACGCGTTTGAGAAGCCCGCCGTTCGCCCCCTTCGTGTGCCCATGGAACTGGAAGGGCCCGACAAGCTGGTTGACGAAGGCTCGGTTGGGGCGCCGTCTTCCAGAGAGATGACACTGCGCATGACGTTGACGAGACCCGATCTCCGCGCCAACGAGGATCAGATCTACGGCTGGCAGCACAAGGGCCTCATGGCCAGCCGCAAGTCAACATCCAATGCGCTCCGGGACGAGTTTGACCCTGTGTCGTGTGCCAGAGAGGGCAACTCGAAGGAAAGCTTCGAAAGGCAGTTTGCTGCCATGGACCAGTGGCAAGCCCAGGTCAACGACCGCGGTGTCATGAAGCGATTCTGGCACAAGGTCCGGCGGGCTCCATAGCCGGCCAGTCATTCTTCACCCCATGTCACGACAATTTTCTTTACCAAGCAAGCGTTGTAGCGTCCTTTGCGGCTTGGCGACTCTGAGCCTCCCATCTTTTCCCTTATACCCTGTATCTGTATACACTCTAATTAATTCGCACCTCGGTCCCGCGTCCTGCTCGCACCCACTCTCATCCTCTTTTCTTTTCATTTTTCCTTCTCTCATCTCATCAAAGCGGGGATCGTGTTTTTTTTTTCATGCTTGGGAAAAATCGTACTAGCTGGGCGATTGGCGTTGTGAGCGCGACACTACAGCAGCATGGGACAGGCGTTGACTACATTTGACTCTCGGGCCCGTGAGCATTATTGCTTCTGCTACTCCCCCCTCCCCGCCTCGTAGAGGTGGGCTGATGAAGAGCGAATTGTGGTGGATCGTCAGCGACATTGAACTTGACCTCGAAGGCAACACTCTCGTTTTGCCGATACAATACAAATGAAAGATGAGGGGGGGGTTCCCCTTTTGCGAATACAAATTTCTGCCACACGCCGTGATGTGTTACACGCCGTCGCTCAGCTCACGCACGAGGACGAGGACGAGGACAGGGACAGGGACAGGGCAGGCACGGCAATGGTGTCGTCCGTGACGCTGGGATTCTCGTGTCGCGCGAGTGCGTCGACCTGCGAAGCGACACTCCTGCTAGTCAACTCGACTAACCGTCGAGATTGTCTAGCTTCCATGGGCACGACGGACGGGGTGGGGTCTGACGGGCAAGAGGGGGCCCAAGAGTCGATGACCGAGCGCCGCCGTGCTGTGCTCCCCGCGCCGGGGAACCTGGACGATAATTGGTAGCGTGAAGCAGCAGATGCACTCTCCTGCCCTCTGATCACGGCGCATGACGCATGCTGCGAGACGAGTGCAACGCGCGAGATGCACACACGCTCGCTCTCTCCCCCTCTGTCTCTCTGCCTGCATGGCGTAAAGAAAAGAAAAAATCAACAGCATAACGATTGTGCCGCCGATGGATGGTGCCCCCCCGCGCGCGGGCTGACGTGGTGCTTGGATCAGCGATCGACCCTTTCCGACCCCCGGTATCTATGTGGCACTCGTGCCCTTTTCTGTTTCGATAGACGCAGGTGCGTGGCGTGCGGCACGTCCCATCATCAGCCCCCGGCCAAGGCGCAACAAAACGTCTGCAGCCGACGTGGGGCGCGTCCGCCGTGTCTCGGACGCATGGTCAAAGTGCTGGGATTGCTCTTAGCGCTGGCGTTTTCGGAGACTGCTGTGCTCGGATCGCTGGGTGTATTGTGGATCGAAGGTAGGTTTTTTTTTTCTTCTTCTTCTTCTTCTTCTTCTTCTTCCTTCTCCAGTGTCTCCGCTTGTTTTCATCTGCCCTTGGCCTGGCCGTGGGATGACGCCTTTTTCTTGGGATGGTGCTGCTGCTGAGGACTTTACTCTAGAGCGGAGGATGTGCTGGCAGGGACATGGGTTGCTTGGCTGGGGCTGTTTGAGGTTGTGGGGTTCTTGACCTGGTTGGGTTGGGTCTAGGTACTGGGTTGGGGGAGTGAGGTCGAGGATGTGTGGCCGCTTTACATGGGGAGAGATGACGTATCTTATTCACGGTTGACCTTGGTCCAAAAGGGGTATCATTGAGTCTGAGGATCCGACAAACAATATCAGCTGAGCTGGGATCTAACCTCGTTTTGCGGTCCCGTGGACAGAAAAACTTGGCTCTCCTCCTATCCCCTGGGTCCGTACTGGTCGAACTGTGCGGTGTGAGGTCGATTGATGGAGACAGAGATATGGCCATGGAAAGATGAAGAGCCAAAAAAGGGAAGAGAGAGGGCAGGAAATTGCAGCGTTGCGGGGACAGGAAAAGGCCCGGCTGAAAAGGAGTTGTGCGAAGCCCGATCACTCAAAGGAATTCCAACGGTTGAGTACAAACCAAGTATCCCATGTCACGAAGATTGTAAAGCCACCAAAGTACAAAGAGAGAAAAACGAAGAAGAAGAAAAGGCCGAGGAAGAAAGGCGAGGAAGGACTCGATCTCCTTCCACTGCGGCGGCGCCAAAGACACGGCTCCAGAACGACGGCACGGGCAGCTCGTCGAGCACGGCGCCCTAGACAAAGTGAATGTGAGGCTCGACAGCCAAGATGCCCTTGGCCTTGAAAGCGACCGAGGCCTCGTCGTCGTCGAGGGTTTTCAGTTGGTCGCGCCCCGGTTGCGTGTGAGGGATGTGCAGGAGCGTCGCGAGCGGCTCGACCGTCTGCGTCCACGAGGGCTCCGTCTCGTCGACCTCGAGCGAAGCGGCCCAGGCGAGCTGCTGGGCACTGGCGCTCGGCTACATCGTGACAACAATCGCTTGCCTGCGCTCCCTGCTCCCCGGCCCTCCCACGACGGCAGCATTCACCAACAGCGTACCTCTGGCTTGCTGCCTCTTGCTCGTGAGGCCAGCAAACAGGCCAGAGACCATGAGCCAGAGGACGGAGACGGCCAACCCAACCAACGACAGCCATCGTCGCCACGTCCCGGCCCCGGCGGCAACAGCCTCGTAGCAGGACTGCGCCCAGTCATAGCGCAGCCACTCGATCCCCCGCCCGGCGTGGATATGCCCAAACACAACCATGGTGGGCCTGGCACGCCATAGCTCGTCGAGCAGCTGATCGCAGCCTTTGCCGCCGTCGTCGAGGTGGGCTCTGGGTGGCCCATGTACGAGAAGGACGTCGGTCCGGGGCGGCACAGCGTGCGCCCAGCACATCGACGACGACGATGGCGACGCGCCGGGGCCGTACTGCAAGGCCCAGTTGCCGTAGCGCGGCGTCCAGGGACTGCCGAACACGCGAACCGATCTGCCCCGAACCTCGAGGTCCAGCGCCTCGAGCTCGAGGTACCGCACGGCGCCCCATGCCAGATCGTCGCGGCGCCGGCCGGCGTGCCGCTCGAGCTCACAGTCCGGATGGGCGGCGACCAAGGCGCCGTCGAGGAGGAGGTCGTGGTTGCCGGCGATGACCATCTTGTGCGCGTGCGGCAGCGTGGCGAGCCAGGACAGCTGCGCCTGCACCTCGTCAAAGGTGCCGAACTGCGACAGGTCGCCGGCGTGCACGAGAATGTCGCCCGGTGGGAGCAGGTCCATCTTGGTGTTGTGCGTGTCCGAGATGCAGACAATGGTGACGGCAGCCGCGTCGACGGCTGGATCAACCACACTCGTGGTGCCCGTCCCTGTCACCGCCGGCCGTCGGTGCGTCTTGTCGTAGAACCAGTCAGCGGCCTGTTGGCTGCGGCTTCGCTGCTGCGGAAACCCCACGACCGGCCGGCTGATTTCACCCATCGCCGTGCCTTTTCTCCTTCTCCTGTTGGGGCCGTTCGTTTTGTGACTTTTCTGCGCTTCAGCCTCGGAAGCGTCTCGCTGGCGGGAGAAGGGCGTACTGCGGTGTTTGTCGTAAAGAGTAGAGGATAAATTGCTGCATGAGGCTCTTTTTGTTTTTTTTCTTCTCCCTCTTCTTCGTTGGGTGAACCACAGCGAGGGCATGCGAAAGGGACATGCGAAAGGGACATGCGAAAGGGAGGTAGGTTGCTTTCTTGGAGACCTACCTACCTACCTGACTGAAGCCACTCCAGACACATTTGTCGCAGTCTCCATGCTGGCCCTGTCTCGGGGCACTTATTCCAGCGGTGCTACAGGTCACCGAACGCGCCCTGCTCTGCTCGATTGGCGCGAACTCGAGACTGGCGCGGGCTCCGGCTTGAGTACCTTGGTAATTGTAAGTACCTCGCAGGCAGGGAGGTCCATGGGAGCTTTTGGAGAAATGGGACGGAAATGGGACGAGAACAGCCGCGCGCCCAACGACAACCATGGACACGACCCTGTTCGACGAACAGCACCATCCATCGTCGGCGGCCGTTCTGATGCCCCCTCACGCCTCGTCTGGGCCCATGTGTTTGCGGCCTCCGGGCCAACATGACCGAGGCCGCCCTCTGGAAAGGCTTCGAGACGAAGGGTCATGGCCAACATACAGGCCAACATGGCCAATTCTATTTCCATTTCCAGTGAGAGGTGACAGTTCTCATGCCATGGCAGACAGTCCAATCTCACAACGGAGCGCTTCTCATAAAAAGAGTCGAGGCAAAGGGCCGACTGGCTCAACAAGGCCACGGCCAGGATGCCGGGCGTCGTCGAACACATCGACAGCCTCGTCGAGGCGGCCGTCGCCCAGGACGCCGTGCTGTTCCGGCAGCCAGGGCTCAAGGTCGTCGCCGCGCCTTGGGAGTATGCCTTTATCAAAAAAGGTCAGCCGCCTCACCCAGGGCACCGGCCGCCAGTACGACGCCCTCGGACGCTGTCGCGTACCTGCACCAGTTCATCGCCACGAGCAACCGAGGCCGCCCCGTGAAACTGCCGACGGTCCAAGACTGGGGCCAGAGGTACAAGGCTCTCTGTCCGGTCGAGATACTTCAGCAAATCAACGACCTGTATCACCGGACCTACGGGACCGACGGCATACTGCTTGCAAGCCGTGGTGCGAGACGCTGATGGGGCTGGCTTTGCACGTTTTGTCATGTACAACACCTTGTCATCGTCGGTAGGGCAACGTAGTGCCGGTCATGGTGGTCACAGCACACGTTGACACGGCGGTGCCGTGGGCAGTGCTTTTGCTGGTCTTGCTCCCCTTTTTCTTCAATTCTTGTTGCATCGAACGAACAGTCCAGTGGTCAGCAATCATCGCGAGTTTTTTTTTTCCTTTTTTTCCCTTTTTCCATCAGTTGATGCAAGTGCTTTTCGAGCGCGAATTTTCGATCGAGGTGATCTCCAGTTCCCTTCGCGTTCGAATCGTTTCTGCGCTCTGTTGAGATACTTTGCATGCAGGCATCAATACGTAACAATGCAACCTCTACACATCCCACTTGATGAGGACCCAGGGGCATGTGCCTTGGTGCGGCCTGTTGCGGCCAGTCGACTTGTCGGCAGACAGTACATTTCATATAGCGGCGACACCTAGTCGTCACATCTGAACACAAGGTAGCTACCATGCCAGGCACCACCGATCTCGAAAACTTTAAAACCCGGCCTTTGGCACACGAGCACCTGCAGCACTCTGACACTGGCGCGCCCTGAGACGGATGAATTGATGCACGGACTGGCGTTTGTGTGTGGTTGCTCAGAGGCAGACAGGCAGACAAAAGGCGCAGACTGGCGTCGCGCACTGATGTGGCGCCCGGCTCCTCGGGACAGGCGAGTTGGACGAGCGGACATGTCTCTGGACGGCGCGGTCACCGGAGAGGGACGGCGTCTTTCGGGTCGCGATACACTCGGCCCATTCAGTCCCGAGAAGGGTCGGCGGTGGTCTCCGAGCACAAGGGAGGTAGGTCTCGGAGGGAGGGGCCACGAGGCAGAAGGGGAGGATCCTGTCATGTCCCGTCTCTCTCGCGGCGAGCTCAATGTCTGCTGGTCTAGAACATGGTTCGCTTGGCGGGGTTTGGCGGAGGAGGCCCGAGGGTTCTCTCATGCGGCCCGGAGGCTTTCCGCCAAGAGAGCAAGCAGGGTCCGGTGGGTTTCTGCTGTCGTTGCGTTCCATGTGACGCATGAGGAGACGCACAGAACTGGCTGCTTGCTTTTGTCGCGAGGCTCGAAGCAGCAGTGACTATCAATCACAAACACCAGAGCATGCTCCCCTATCAGCACGGATGGGTCTGGTCGGCAAAAGCAACGTCGTGGCACGGGCCTCATATTGGTATGGCCCTCGGCGAGACATGAGATGACCACGAGACGACCACGAGGCCGAACGGCAGAGGCTGCTTCGCTGTCCCCGGGGATCTGGACGACTCTCCGCCCGGACTCGTCCCATGACCGACGCGCCCAAACTTGGTACCGAGCATGTCGTCTCTGCCGCTGCAGGAGGGGCCGGCCTGTCGCTCCTTGCCTGTTGAAGAGCATCGTCCGCGCCTCGACTGTTGGCGACGGCCACGGCACCCCCCGGCTGACAAGAGTCATGCTCGTCGAGTCAAGAGAGAGCAGCGCAAAGTGATGCCGGGCGACAAGGACCGGAGCAAAGATATCAGATCTCAGGACGTGGCGTTTGCGCGCACAGGCCCGGGGTCGAGGTCCGGGGTCCGGCCCCTGCAGCGAGGGGCGCCGATGCGGTCAAGGGGTACATGTGCATCATGCAGACCGGGGGAGGCTGCTCTCGACGTGTAACGAATGCAAGGCTTGAGGCTTTTGTTGGTCTGGACGGTGCGCTTGAGAGGCGGACGAGCGAGGGATTCGGGGCCGGCAGTCTCGGTGCTGTGCGGTTTAGATCCTTGCCAGTCGGCCTGGCTCTCTGGGGTCTTGTTGATAGCACATGTTCCCCTGGGCGAAGTTCCCCTGGAAGATCGTCCCCTGGACGAATGGTTGCAAGTCAATACCAAGAGGGGCTGTGCGAATATCGAAAGCCCCTTTGGTTGCGATCTGCTAGACTCCTGTCGACTACACGCAACGCGGACGCACGGCAGAACGAACATGTGAAATGATTCATGCTATGGACGGACCAGCTATGGACTTAACTACATCTTGTACGATACGGAGAACAGCGTATCCCTGGCCCGGCCATTCCCCCAACCAAGCGCCGACGCCGACCTAGTCAAACACGCGCTTCGCGTCGCAGAAGACGCGCAAAAAGGGAATGGGGATCGGCGGACACTCGCCGTCGAGGCTGGCATCGGGATCGAGGTTCCAGACGGCGCAGTTGTTCTCGACGTAGCCGCCGATGCGCAGCAGCGAGGCGCTGTAGGGCTTGCAGCCGACGACCTGGTTGAGGATGTCCTTGCACTCCTGCGCGCGGATCGTGAACTCGCAGTTGTTCTTGCCCGTGACGCCGACGTGCAGCATCGACCACCAGGACCCGGACTTGGCGATGGCGAGCTCCTGGTTGCCGTGGATGCGCGTGCCGTCGGCGTAGTCGCAGAACTTGTTGAGCGCGTCCTGCAGCTCGTGCCCGTACACCTGCCGCCCGCTGCTCCAGCACGTCGCCTTGTTGGTGCCCGGTTGCGGCGGCTTCGGCTTGGGCGGGTCCGTCGGCTTGGGCACCGGGTTGCTCGTCGACACGGGCGTCGTGGCCGTCGTCGTGCGCGTCGTCTTGGGCGGCACCGGGATCGTCGTCGTCTTGGGCGTGCCCGTGCCGGCCCCCGGCCCGCTGCTGCTGCTGCCGCCGCCGCCGTTGTTCCCGCTGCCGCCGTCTTTCCACGGGTAGCTGTCCGTGTCCGGGTCGTAGTTTTCGGGGTCAAAGGGGTTGTAGCCCGGAAGGCCCGAGTCGTAGTCGTCCGAGATGTACGGGATAAACGGGCACACCGGGTTCTCGCGCGTCTCGTCGTCCTCCTGCTCCTCCTGCTCCTCCGAAGGCTTGTTGCCAGGCGTCGTCGGTCCCGGCTTGCCGCCGGGGGGCACGGGGATGATGGTGACCTTGGGGATCGGAGGGGGGAACGGCTTGAGGTCGGGCGGGCAGAGACCAAACTTGACCTTGATGTTGACAATGGGGATCGTGTAGCTGATGCAGAGAGGCTTGGGCGCCGGGACGGGCGCCACAATGACGGTCGGCTGCGAGCCGCTCTCCGTCTTGACCGTCGTCTTGGATATGTGCACCTTTTCAGTCGTCTGCTTCTCGACCGTGAACGTGATGGTCTGGCTGCTGACCACCGTCGTCAGCGGCGGCGGGATCCACGTCGTCGTCGTCGCCGACGGCGGGTACACGATGGTGCAAGGGTATCGGCAGCTGACGGTGTGCTCGCCCTCCCAAAAGTCGGACGGCAGGTACAGGGCGCCGCTGTCGTCGTCGCCCTGGTTCTCCTCGGGCGTGTACTTGTCACTGAAAGGGAGACCGGCCGGCACGATGAGCGGGAAGGTGAAGACTGTGCCCGCTGGGACCTCGACTTCTTGCGTCAAGGGAACGCCGGCCTGCCACTCCTTGCCGGACGTGTCGACGATGGGCTGGTTGGGAACAAAGCCGGGAGGGAGGAGGAAAGGCCTTGGGATCGGAACACCAGCGGGAACATTAATGGGGTTGCCCAAGCTGCCTCCTGTGCCACAGCACGTCGAGGATATGGCGCGGGCCAGATCGCAGGTCTATGTCACGCAGTGTCAGCGGTTGATCTCCTTTTTTTTGTTTCTTTTTTTTTTCCAGCGGCATGGGATCTCCAGGTGAAAGGGGCTCCAACATACGTTGCACTTTGACGCTCCAGGACCCTTGGGCTGGTTCTGGTTGCCATCCTTAGGCAGCGAAACGACGTTGCTCGCCACAGGACGGTCGATCGTCAGCGTGGCGCCCTTGGGCACCGTCGTCGCCGACAGAGGAATGACAGTGGCCGAGACGGGCGAGCGGTAGATGACGCCCTTGCTCGAGCTCCCGCCCGTGGCGCTGCCCAACCAGGCCATGACGACGTCGCAGTAGTTGATCTTGTTGTCTTTGCCGAGGACGGCCACGCCGCCCACGGGGCTGATCATCTCGATCGTCGCCTTGGTGATGAGGCTGTAGATCCAGATGTCGCTGCTCGTCTCGATGGACACCATGCGCCGCTGGCAGTCCTCCGTGCCGACGCACGCCTGGTCGTAGTTGTCGAACCACGAGTACAGACCGGCGCCGTAGATGTAGATCTTCTCGCTGTTGACGATCCGGACGCCCCAGGACACGGCGCACTTGCGCTCGCCCGGCTTGCAGAAGTCAAAGGTGGGATCGGACGCCTTGTAGAGGGCCGGCGCCGTGCCGAACGGCGCCGGTGCTCGAGGCGTGTCTTGGAAGTAGGGCGACTCCGTCTGGATCATGCCCATGAAGATGTTGGACGCATCGATCGTCTGGTACTGGTAGAGGACGCAATGCTCGCTCGCCGTGCCGTACAGCCAGACGGGGTTGGTGCTCTCGATGAGCACACCTGCGGAGCTTCTTCAGCACATGCTACGTGGGCACAGGATGTAGCGAACCACTCTCTCTTACCTCGAGCAACAAAGATATCGATCTGTGTTTGAGCCGGAATATCGAGGTCCTAACAAAGGATCAGTCTCCCTTTCTGTTTGCCATCAAGTGTGGAATGAACTCACGTGGTCAGCCACCCAGAACCAAGTGTTTTCAAAGTAGGCAGACGACTGCGGCGTCAGGTGCACCAGCATCGCGGCCGCAATACAATTCGGGTTGACGGCTCCCGTCAGCTTCGGGCAGTTCTTGACCTGGAGGTCAGACCCGGCCGCACCGCCGACGCGGACGTGAACGTCCCACATGGCGGCGGAGCCCTTGGACGACTCCTTGATGTTCCACTGCAAGACAATGGCGCCGGCCGTCTTGCCTCGCACCGTGAACATGAGGTCCTGGAGCTCGACGGCACCAGACTGGCCCGGGTTGCCGACCTTGACGACGGGGTACGGCGCGTTTGCGTTCTGGAACTTGGCGCCCTGGCCCATGATCTGAGACCAGGACTGGCCGACGACCTTGGCGCCGGGGGGCACAAAGACCGTGTCCGTCACGATGTAGACCCCTGCCGGCAGCCACAGGATCTTCCCCGCCGACGCCGTGGCCGACAGCGCCGCGTTCAGGGCGGCCGTGTCGTCCGTCTTGCCGTCGCCCTTGGCGTTGTAGGGCGCGAGCTTGATGTTGACAAAGTCGCTGGCAGGCCTCGACTCGTACTGGGGCTTGGAACGCTCGAAGAACCCGGACGTCTGGCTGCTGGGGTTCTTGAGAAGGCCGCCCGAGATGACGGGCGCGCGAGGGTACGCGCCCGCCTGCTGGACGCCCGACGCCTCGCCGTTCTGCGTGTCGTACCGCTTGCCGACGCCCCAGGCGGCCACGGTGCTGGTGCCCGTCGAGCCGGCGAGCAGCGTGGCGCCGTCGACGTACTTGACGACGGCGGGCACGTTGCTCGTGGTGACGGAGAAGAGCGACAGCGAGATGGCGGCCTTGGCGGCCGGCTTCTGCAGCTGGAGACCCACGGGGCAGTTTGTGATCTTGCTGTCGATGAAGATGGCCGAGCCGACCTTTGTTGTCGCGTCGGGCGACACCATGACGATGCCGACGGGGCAGTTGGAAATTTCGACGCCCTTCCACGTCCAGCCCCAGTCCCAGTGGATCTCGATGGCCTTGGACAGGTGGTTGGAGAACTTGAGGTTGCGCACCGAGAACTGCTGGTTGCCGACGTACATGCCGAGGGCGCCGCCGACAAACTCCAGATCGCTCATGAAGCCGCCGCTGCCGTTCTCCATGAACATGCCCTGCTGGTTGTTGCCGGCGGCGGTGGACATGACGAACTTGATGTTCTGGAGCGATGTTGCCTGGGCGACTTGCCTGGGAAGTCTATGTGTTAGCAAGACGGCCACTTCGAATCACGAAATATGTGCTTTGCGAGACGTACCAATGGATGGCGGCAACATATGCCTGGAGAGGGGCGGATGTCATATCCAGCACAAAGTTTCTCACGTGGCGAAGGAAATTGCTCTGCAGAGCCACGGGAATCAGCAACGTGAGGCCCAAAACTGTGTACAGCAAGTGTCAACCAACTCACCTGATTGATGTACCACTGGGCTCCCTCTCCACCCTCAACATAGACATCAGAAGAGATCATGCCAAGACCAACAAAGGCCGGCGATGCCTTCAGCACGGGGCGATTCGTCGGCTAGTTCACAGGTCAGCCAAACGTTCTTCCCTCCAAAGGGCCACCCCGGTCTCGAGAGCCCACTTACATGCCCGATGAACTGCGTGTGATAATACTGAATGATACTTCCGCTGATGATGTACGTGCCCGGGGGGAAGTACACCACAGCCTGCAGCGTCGTCGTACTGCCGCAGTCGAGACCGCACCGGTTCTGGTCCGAGACGGCCTTGTTGATGGCGGCCGTGTCATCCGTCACGCCGTCGCCCTTGGCGCCGTAGTCCTTGACGTTGCGCCACACCTTGTACCCCGACGGCGCAAAGGGCGACAGGCCGTTCTGCGTCATGCCCTCGAGCCACCAGGTGCCCGACTGGCGGGCCTGCAGCGGGCCCTCGGACGCGGCCGACGCGTCGTCGACGCTGAGCGTGCCGTTCTGGATCATGACCTCCGTCAGCACGGCCGCCGCCTCGGCCACCGTCTCGTTGACGCCCGTGGCGCTGTCGTCGCCGCTGGGCGACAGGAGGCCCTTGGACGGCGTGGGCGCGTGGAACTCGTAGCGGTTGCGCCGCACGTTGGCCACGAGCCGGGCGTTGCGCTCGGCGGCCTCGGCCTGCGCCGCGAGGACGATCTGCTCGGCTTCGCTGATCGTGGCGTTGGCCGTGGTGGTGGAGTTTCGGAGCTGACGCGGCACGAGGCGAGGTCTCGCTGCGCCATGGGCTTGCTCGCCTGGGACGACGTTGTCTGTCTCGAAGAGGCTGCCGCTCAGGGACATGACACCGGCCGAGGAGCGGCGGGCCGGTTCTTCGCCATGCTCTTGGTGTAGCTTTTCGGCCTGGGATTGCACGGCCGCCAGCGAGAGGAGGAGGAGCAGGAGGCTCAAGATGGAGGAGAAGTGATAACGGCGGGCCATGTTGTGTGAGGTGTGACTGCCGCCGATGCGATCTCGAATGGATGAGAAAAGAGTTCAGCAGACAGAGCGAGACTTCTATCGTACGATGAAAAGGGGAATGGCCCTCCAAATTGTGCTGGGCACCTCAATCAAGGAAAGCAGACTGCTGTTCTGCCCATGAAAAATGAAAATTGAAGAGGAGAAGGAGAGGCTGGACTGGGCGAAGGAAAACTATCACTGGTTCATGTCGAATCCGAGAATCAGATATTGTACCCAGGACTCCGTCTGCTGTCCGAGGCAGTGCTCCGCGGACAGACATGAGGGTGGCTGCGGCGCTTCGCAGAATTCGTAGATAACCTCGTCGGCATCAGCTGATAGACCGACAGGCCGGTCTAGACAATGATACTTGGAGATACATCGAGGAACATCGAGCACTCCGCCGTTGAAGGATCATGTTCCGTGTCCGCTGTGCAGCCCTGGCTCCATAAGGCTGTACATGTCTCGGTTGTTCAACGCGCCCAGCCAGCTGACACTGCATTCTGAGCCTGGTACCATGCAGAGCGACAGGGCTTAGAAGCTGCAGCTGTCCTCGGTCATTGCATGCTGCATCTCAGAGCTCGGATCAGCGGGTGTGCCCCCAAAATGAAGCGCGCCGTTGACCAGCACGGCGGTTCACCACGTTACCGAACATGTCGAGTGGCCGACGCTATCATATGTGTATATCCCACGGAAACCCCACCAATGGCACTCACAGCTCTCTACCCCACGCCGACATTCCACGCAGGGGGTCGGGTTGATCTGGCCCTGTAAGGCCGAAGGCCTGGCTCGAGTGAGGTATTTCGCGCTGACGAGAGCAGCTTCTTCTCCCGTGCGGCACAGTTCCTCGGATCTAGGGTTCGAGCTCGGAAAGGCAGGTGGCCTGAGACGGCTGCAGCCGACCTTGACATCGTCGCCGTCGGGGCCCTGGTCTGCGTGAACGGCGCTGCCTTAGTCCAGGACCCTTCCCCCTTGGACCCTGGACCCTGGACCCTGGACCCTTGAGTCGGCTCGCTGAGGATCCCTGCTAGTCTGCCCGTCGTGCCGCAGCCCGATGAGGAAACGATATCGTCGCTGATTCTAGCTCACTTCATCTCCCTCCCGGACGAGTGACTGTCACAAGCACGTGAAGGCTCCACGTCCAGGGCTGACAGGACGCCAGTTGGTCGCTCCACGAACACGAAGCACAATTCCCATGTTTTTGGCCGGGCGAATTCCAGTATCGCATCAGTTGTAGTAGCGTAGATTATTCGATCTGGTGCGAGCACAAACAAACTAGAGCCGTTCATGTTTCTTGACTGCAGAACCCGGGGACAAAGTGCAATCCAAAATAAGAACATGAGCCATAACAGGGAGCACAGTCTGCCTACACTCGCGATTCCAAGTCTTGGATTGCTTCAGGGGTTCACAGGCGCCGGGTCATCGGGGTAAGTCGGCTGGCAGTCACTTCCAGTTGATGGCTTCGGCCCAAAGCAGTAGCGCTTCTTCCCGCGGACCTCGACCCATACAGCGTCGCCGACCGTGGCGCCCTGCGTCGTGTCTGCCAGATAGTCAAACTTGAATATCGTGTAATCAGGCTTGGGCGAAAAGGGCGTCAATTTGCCTTGTGCCATAGCAGTGAACCAGCGGCCAAGTGCGTTGTGGCCGTCACCCTGCCAGTCCTGCTCTGTTGCAGTGGACGCCGAGGCAGCGCAGCCCGCAGAGATCGGTGCACCTGTCTCTTGTCAGCCTTGCTAGTATGGGATTTTCACGCCTGTGCAGCTCGAATGAAAGCGTGAGGAGGGGGCGCTTCACGTACAGTATGTGCTGGCTCCGTTGCCCTCCTTCAATCCAGCTTGCCGCTGGAAACTCGTCACAGGACAGAATGGCTCCGTATGGGGTAGACTGGGTCTCGACCCTGTAACCCAGTGGTTCACTGGCATCGGCAACTCGAATCTCCTCCACTTTGGCAAGTCGGTTTCTGTGCTGGACCCCATCCTCATCAATGTGCATCTGTGCTTTCACAAGTGGGTTGATCTGCCCACCGCTCTTCCAGGTCCAGTCAGGCTGATCACCCTCAGGGCACCTGCCATTATTGATCCAGTTGGTAGGGCAGCTCTCATCGCGACGCGCATCCACACGCGACTTCTTTGCGTTGCGACCAGCGTCGCGCTTTTTCTGCACACGGAAGGCGTCAAAGTGAAACTGTGACGTTGTTCCGCCTCCTAGATACCTCATGGCATTCTTGCAAAGAGCAGGCACAAGTTTGCAGTTGTACACTAGTTTCGGTCGAAGGATGCCATAGTCGCGCACTACAACCAGCGTTAGTATACTGTACAGTCATGTTGACGGCCCATCACCACCTAGAAGTAGTCTCAAAGATCTGCACTAGAGAACTTACCATTGTAGACGTAGTCCTTCGTGCCTCCCTCAGTCAGTCTCGCCGAGTAGGTCGTACCTGAGACAGATCTGGGGCCTGGCCAGCCTTGTGCCATGACGACGGCAGCCCAGCAAAGGAGCAGTGACGACCAAAGCAACATGATGAATCTGACGGGAATCTGACGGGCAGTAGAGAAGATTCGTACGTTGAGCGATGAAGCGATTGAGAGCGAAGGGGAAGACGAGAGTGTCTGCAGCCGCTCTTGTCAACCTCGGCGACGGAGGTCAGACCAAGGGGCGAGCCATAGATCTATCAGAGAAGAGCAGCCCTGCGTTGCCGAGGTGCCTGCGGTCGTATGGGGCCGTCTCCTGTGCTTGGCCATGATGACGGACGCTCTTGTGATGCGCAGTCTTTCCTGACAGAGAAGTGAGGCGCCTGGGGTAGCGGGCCGCCCTTGTGACAAGACCTCTTCAAAGATTGCGACCGGGATGGTCAGACTGAGGGCGCATAGCGTCGAGATCAAGTCTCCTGTGGCCCCTAACCCCTGCTCGTCAAGCAATGTAAGCTTTGCGGGGCTGGTCGATGCACGTTGCAGGCCCCACGTCGTGCCGTGCCGGGAACAGGGGTTAAGAGAGGGGACATGAGCTGATGGAAGAGGAACCCTTGGGTGATGCAGGTACAAGGTAGTGATGTAGACCAAACGAATAGGCTAATCTGATGTGGGCAGGATCCTAAATCCGCTCAAGAAAACCAAAGCCGTAATTCTCCCGCCCGTCATCGCCCTCGGGGAAAGCTTCTGCTCCGGCGACGAACTCGTGGATCGGCGCACTGGCCCAATACGTATCCATGTTCGTGAATCTTCTGCTCCAGTAGACCTCGAAAATGTAGCTGAAAAACTTACAACCGAGACCGGGGCCAGGATCCTGCTCACTACGGTCGGAGGGTAGAGGCATCCAGGCCAGTCGTTCTCGCACATTCCACGAGTACGGCTGCGGCGGACCGTCAAGTACGTGCACAGAGGTCGTCGGGCTGGTGCTGCGACCTCCTGCGTCCGATGGAGTCACAGGGGTCGCGATGAGTACTGTGTGTTCTGTGTCCTCGACTCGAGCAGGCATAGTCAACTCGGTAAGCTGAAAGGTGCCGAACAGAACGACCGAGGCCATCCGTACCTGAGAGGGCTCCAGATGCCTCATCCATTCAGAGTGCGGCGAATGATGATTGGTGCCCCTGCCCCAGTCGAGTCGGATCTGCGCGAGCTCATGTGCTGTCCACATGCGCATAAGCTCCCAGAGGGGGAAAACGTCCTGGTCGGTCAAGGGACCATCACGTCCTTCGCCATTGTCATCCTCTTCCTCCTCCTCTTCCTCGGATCTTTCTGCCAGGTAGGCTGGCCTCTTCCAGTACGGCATGAAACCTCGACTAGACGCTTCTGTCCTCGCGGTCTCTACGATCCAGCTAGAAAGGGGCCCAAAGGCTTCTGCGTTCTTGTCGCCCTGAAGCTCGTGATTATAGACAGCAAAGGTGCCGAGATAGTCATTGTCCCGTTCCCAAGACTCGCGAGTCGAGGGCTCTGAAAAGTACCTCTCGCCCTGCTCAAGGGATCGGAAGAAGGGCTCATGGTAGGCATGTGCAAGGACTGCGCCGGCGAGGAAGAGCCTGTAGGTGGCCCGCCGGAAGTTTTCTTTCCATTGGGAGAGCAGGCGAGCGTGTTCGGCTCCATCGTCGCTGGGACCCGTTATGCTGGAGTTGGGCGGATCTGGATGCACAAGACCGGTCCACTTGGACTGTCCAAAAATCATCTTGCCAGAGTAGAAGAACATGTGCTCGAGGCATGCGGCCACATGCTGCATCTGCAGGACCTGGATGAGCTCGGCATGACTGGGCTTGCGTGAGGCGCCAGTGAGTTTGCCGAGGGATGTGATGCGAGGCGGCAGCTCACCGGCCTCGAAGGCGGGTCTGACGAGGTTCGTCGCGCGGACCTGTTGGAGAGGAATATAGCCTGTCAGCGTGTATAATGAGAAGGTAGGGGTAAGATGGGGGCGAGGTGAGCAAGAGAAACAAGAAAGGCCATGTGCTCGGTCACATTTCAGGCGTCGTGGGCCTGGAACACAGGGTGTCGACTCCTCCTCGGAATCCGACTCACCGCCATCAAGGCCTCCTCAAAGGCAGGAATTTCTCTCCGCCCAGTCGACCAGATGAGTGGCGGGGCGGCCTTCTCCCACATGACATGCAGCTGCCTGCACGTGGAAGCGAGAGCCAGCATGTCAGTGAGCCCATCGCAGAGGGAAAAGATCTGGACTGTGATTTCGGTCGGACATGACAGCAGACCCTGCACCATGGTTGCTGATGGCATGAAGCGAGTAAGATGTCTGCGAGGTGGGGGCGGGGTGGTAACGAGAGGAAGGGTGTAGGTGCGAGAGGGAAGATGAAGCGGAAGAGACAAAGGTGGGGGGAGAGGAGTTGTAGAGGTGGGCAGTTTCGGCAGCGTCGAACGGTGTTCTCGTGACAGCGCGAGATCAAAAAAAAATTGGTCGTCGAAATAGGCAGCTGGAGCGAATGATCTGGTTGGTGGACGGCTAGATGCAGATGATAGATGATGTTTGATGACTGGAGCTTGCAGTTCATAATTACCAGGGAGGTGGAAGCATCGTGATATGGAGAAGGGCAAGGATAGGGGCAGGCTGGCCAGACCAGATCGGATCCGACTGCCCGCCTGGTCATCAGGGGTCGCCCCTTCCAGGCCTCCCCCTGGCACTCAGGGCAGGCACCCGAACCCCCTGGTCGACTGACAGCTTCCCCGGACGCTGCCAAGTGGGGATCGAGACCCTCAAGCTTTTTAGCTCAGCACCGCACTTCCAAGGACCCCTCGCCAGAGTTCGCAGGGCCTAGACCACGATCGGGCCGGACACCGATGTCCGAGGCGGCCGCCCTCGCCCAAGGTAGCCAGGCATTTTGACCTTGCAGGATCAAGCTTGAGGCTCCCTGGCCTCGCCTCATCTCCCACTTATCTATACGCGTAATGCTGATCCGGGAGGTAGCCGCCGATTCTTCAGCGCAACGGCAAGGGCTATCCTCCCTGATGCATACGGCGAGAGGCGCTAGCATGCCCTGGAAAGTGCCTCTTACTCAGCATGCACTTTCCTGATTGCCATGCACCTTCCAACGCATACATCCCTACCTACCGTTGAGAACCCCGAGACTTCGCAGGTACAGCCGTGTACCTCTCTTCCCAGGCCATGTTCTTCGCACGCAATGCCACATACTCTGCCTCGGCATCGCGATGCTCCGCAGCCAGGTGAGACGGAGAAGGAAAAAAACAAGAAGAATGAACCAGCTGGATCGAACGGGCTAGAGACAGAAGCTCGCCCTGGCCGCATCCCCCTCTTCCTCTTCTTTGCCGTCCTCTTCGTCTGCCCTCTCTTCGGGACTGTTCTTGTGACTTCATACCAACTCGACATACCTACTTGGCAAGTCATCGTGACATATAATCGTCACCTGCACGACGCGTTGCAACCCTCAACTGAGGTGCTCCAGTCACTGCCGCATCTTTCGTCAAGAGTCGAGCCAGACCCGACTCGCCATCATGAAACCTCTCCACCAAAGCGGCGCTGTTCTGCTGACTGCCATTGCCTCTTACGCTGCCGTCTCGCACGCCGCGCCATCCGAATATGGAGGCAAATCCTTCTCGGAAGACCTCGTCGAGGCCTCGCCCTTCCAGCTGGTCGAGCGGGCCTTTGAGCTCGGCAGCTGTCGTGCCTGGTCAAAATCGAACGCCTGGGATACCTGCCAGGACTACCTCAAGCGATACGGCTTGACCATGGCCCAGTTCTACAAGCTGAATCCGACGGTTCAGTCTGACTGCTACGCTTTCGTCCCTGGAGAGACCTACTGCCGCAGGACGAGTACGGACCGAGTCCCCATTCCCTCCCTCTCCGTACTGCTATGCAAATGCTGGTGCAGTCATGTCCGAACATGGCCGAGCTGACTTTGATATGGGGCAGATGCCGAGATTCCCGTGTCCAAGGACGGTGGGTGCGGACTGCGCACAGGGAACAATGTCACATGCATCAACTCTGAATTCGGAGACTGTTGTGGTGCGAACAACCGGTGAGTAGCCTCCTTTGGACGGGTGTTTTTCTTTCCGAGCATCCGAGTCTATGTGCTGACCAAACTCCCCCCAGTTGCGGTTCTACAGAGTATATCTCCCCAAGCCCCCAGCACCCAGCTTCCGGGTGAAACGAGCTAATCGTGAACGTCCTTAGCGCTTCCTGTGCCATCGGAAACTGTCAGGAAGGAAACTGCCCAGGTCTTGGTTACAGTTTCGACGGGTCTTGCGGTAAAGACTTTGGCTTTCTGGAGTGCGGCGGGAAATGGGGCAAATGCTGCTCCAACGCAGGAAAGTCTGTAACCCCTCGCCTGCAAATGACAAAGTCGTGCAAAATCTCAAGAAACTGACAATTCTTCTATCATCTCAGGTGTGGCAGCACTGCAGCCGAGTGCGGTGCCGGCAAATGCCAGTCCGGCGCATGCGATGGTTCAGCAGTAACGACATCAAATGCACCAGTCACCACCGCCACCGCGACGTATGACAAGCCGCTCGCAGACAACGTTGCAGTTCACGAAAACGCTGACAACCTAATGTACTAGGTCTACAAAGCCCGCACCCACGCCGTTCACCCCCAGCCCTGACGGAACATGCGGCTACGACAACAAGTACAAGTGCACCGACACAAAGTACAACTATGGCAACTGCTGCGGCGCTGCGGGCTACTGTGGTTTCTCGGACTGGGAATGCAGCAACCTCCAAGGCTGGTATGTTGAGCATGGGCCCTGATCCGGAAAGAGGTTCGATCTTGCTGACTCGTCTCTACTCACAATATAGTCAGTCTGAGTACGGTCTATGCGATACGACGGTTCTCGTCAGCGGTGCCCCCAAGACGACGTCTACGTCTCCCGTCACCACGACGCAGCCAACGACGACAACCACTTCCAAGCCTGTAGCCGTCCAGAAGTCTGGCTCCTACGAGCTGGTAGGTTGCTGGAACAGGCCGCCCAATGCTCGTGCCCTCAACGTTTCTTATACGGACGACCTGATGACGGTCGAAAAGTGTCTCGCCAAGGCCGCGGGCTACGCATACGCCGGCGTCGAATTCGGCAAGGAGTGCTGGTACAGCAACACCATCGACGGCGGTTATTCTGTTGCCCTCTCCGCGTGCAACATGCCCTGCCCCGGAGCCCCCGACAAGCAGCTCTGCGGTGCCGGTAACCGCATGCTCATGTACAAACTACCCGGAAACACGGTGCCCCAGCCCACACAGCCGGCTATGATAGTCGTGGGCACCAGGGTCGCTTACCGCTGGTACTATGTCGAGTGCCGCACCGATGGCAGCGCAAACCGATCATTGACTGGCGCCCAATACTCACAGGCCAACATGACGTTGCACGAATGTGCTAACCTCTGCCTTGGCTTTGACTACTTTGGAGCCGAGTTTGGGAAAGAATGTAAGTCACTGAAGAAGCCTCGTCACCACCGCTCCCTCTTTCGTCCTCTCCTCGTGTTTCTCATCCACCGTTCTTCTGTCTGCCTTGGTGGCTCATCAATGATCACAAAAATTCATCAGCTGACCTTATTTTCAGGTTACTGCGGAGACACTTTCGCTGCTGGATCCGCCGTGTCAGCGAACGACTGCACCCTGACCTGCGTTGGGAATCGCGATCAGTATTGTGGTGCAGGCAACAGGATGTCGGTGTACCAGAACAGATAGTGAAGCAAGACACGGCTCGATACCAGGGCTTTGCTGCAGAATCTTGAGAAACCTACGAAGGAAGGCGGCTGGAGCCTACAAGTCTTGAACGAGGAGAGGGATTGGATAACTGAAGTATATGCATCATTTGGCCTGAGCAACTGTCATACACAGAGATCCGGTAACCTGCCTTCGCTCTGAGCCGTCGCTTGTAGTCGGAGAACGCATTGCATTCGAATACCATTCGTGACATGATTGACTGAGGTGCCTGCAAACCAGGCTGGGGCAAATGTCTGGCCATACACATGGTAGACTTCTCAAGGTTCATACAGTGGACGCACTGAACATTTTTAGGGGATGTCGGAGATGTACGTACCTGGAGCACATCCAGTCACGTGATCTCGCGTTCATGTCCTGCAATGTCTTCCACCTGAACACGAATTTTTGTGAGTGATTGTCGCGCTGAAGAGAGATCCACCCGCACTCATTCAGTCAGCGCAACAGTCCGATGACTTCATGGCCAGAATGTTGCAGCAGATACGACGGCCCTATATCTGCCGCAGATGTGTCTCCGCTTGTGCCGAAGCTGTATCTCCTACAAGCGTATGCTCTAGAACCTCTAGAACCCAACCCTCAGCTGCTTCCGCTTCATTGGTGGCTCGCCCGGCAGCTCAGCGAGTGAGTGTTACCCCATTCTCATGACTGCCTCTGCGAATGCTTATCATTTTCCAGACTCTTGCGACCGTTACGCAGCCTGTGAATGATGCAGAGGGTTTCGAGAACCTGTCCACGAGTCTTGCCGAGCATGATCAGCCCAGAATCAGCGTTCGCGACAGGCTTCGTGTCTGGGAACAGGAGAACCAGGCATCCGCTCACAGACTTCTAGACGACCTGCCTTTCAACGAAAGACTGGGGAACTTCCTTACAAGGCCACAGACTGTTCGCACATTCACCGACGAGCACGACACTAGGCAAGCCAAGAACGACCTGTACGATGGCGATGTTCTGTCAGACCTCCGAGGCCAGACATCCGCTCTCCTCGCCGGCGATCTCGTGGAGACGCGCTTCGGTGGCAGCCGCTTGCCAGTCCTCGCCATCTGCCTCGGTCGCCACCACGGTCTGCAGTATTTCTACCTGAACACGGGCGAGGTGCTGGCCTACCAGAGTCTGGTTGCTCTCTTCACCGTCACCAACTATGTCGACCCTGCTGTTCTGCAGCCCATCGTCGACCTGCTCCCATCGGAGCCTTTTACCCGACCGCGCAACGTTTTGCACCACGTGCGCACTCCGCAGGCTCTGAGAACGGCAGCCGACTTGCAGGGGAGATTGACCAAGTTCTACGCAGAGGCCGTTCACTTCTACCAATCCTCTCTGAAACACATGGATGGTGCCAGCGAGCATGTGGCTGACCCGAACAAGCGCACCTACTTAAGCCTAGAGGAACTCGCTGATCGTATGCTGCCCGCATTTCTCCGGGAGGGCAGCACGTTCTCGTCCCATGTTCTGTATGCCGTTCACCTTGCTCTGCAGCGTCACGGCTGGGGGTTTCGACCGTTGAACGCAAAGTGGCACCGAAGGAACTACATTTACGAGGTGCAACCTGGCTCGGATATCGCCCTGTTGCAACTGGTCGAGTCGAGGGTGCGCCGCCTTGTCGATGGGGCGTATCTAAGAGACAACCCCGGACAGTCTGCATCCCTTTTGAAACAGAACGACCTCGGACGCTTCATCTTGCGAGCGCGTGCCATTGTCAACGCCAACCGAAGGAACAGGCCTTGGACCCCTCATGGTATGATAGGTCCCAGCAGCCAGATGGCGGAGGATCTGCCCCAGTGGGAAGAATCGGATCTGAAGTACATACGCTTCATGGAGCTGTGGGCGTGCAGGAGGGTCATTCCTCAAGCGTCTCAGATTGATAGTCTGGGATCCTCGATTCTTCGCCTGACGCAGCTATACAGCGAATCCGACTGGGTCGCCCACTGGACAGCCTTTACGTTTCTGCAAGAGATCGGCTGGATCCCGCCGTGGGATATTCCAGCCCGGTACGAGTACCGTTTCCCAGACACGGAGATCAGTAGGGGTGGCAGCCTGAGTCGTCCGAGCGTCGACGTCGAGGCATCCATGAGGCCAGACATCGCTGCGGGTGCCCGCCGAGACTGGGGCGAGACCAAGATCTTCTGTGTCGACTCGGATCAGACTGCAGATGTCGATGACGGCTTTTCCATCGAGGCGACGGATGTAGCTGGCGAGCACTGGATTCACATCCACATCGCAGATCCAGCATCAGTCATTGACCCAGCGTCACCGCTGGCGTCCTATATCGAGTCTATGCCCTCCAGTCTCTACCTTGCTGGCTACCCTGAAAAGATGTTACCGCCTGAGCTGGAGCAAAAGTTCTCGCTGAACCCCGGCAAGCCGGTCCTCACTTTTAGCGCAAAGGTGAACGAAGAGGGCGACGTTCTAGGCTACAATGTCGAGCCCGGGACTGTTCACAACGTCGTGCATATGACGAAACGTGAGGTCACGTCTATCCTGCCCGGCCTTCAGTCTTTGGAGAGCGGTGGCGATGCAGCCTTTTCTGTCGGAAAGGACCCCGGCCCTCGACCTCCCGTCAAGAAAATCACGACGGCTGACGAGCTCACGGCGGAGGATAGGGAAGGCCTCCTCCTTCTCGACCGCCTTGGCGAAGCACTCAAGGACCGCCGTGCCGCCAAAGGCCAGCTTCCCACTCTGCAGTCTAGGCTCCCCTCTCCAGAGGTGTCTTTTCGGCCCATCTCTGCCAAGCAGCACGCCACAGACCCCAATGCGTCCATGGCCTGGAACGGCGACCCGTTCATCAAGTTCTCGCACTCGAGCTATAGCCAGGCCGACCGTCTGGTCGAGCGCATGATGCACACCGCCGGCGAGGTCGCCGCCAAGTGGTGCCAGTCCCGCAACATTCCAGCCCCGTACAGCACGCAGCCCGAAGCCCTCCGCAACGCAGCTGAGCTGAAACGCCTCCGCGAGGAGGTCGTCGACCCCCTAACGGCCGCCGGTAAACCCTTGCCCCCGGCCCTCCTGCAGCAGCTTTTCGGCCTCATCGGCACCTCAGAGCTCTCTGCCCAACCGGCGCCCTTCTACTCCGTCGGCCTCGACGCCTACACCAAGGCGTCCTCCCCGCTACGCCGGTACACCGACCTCATCGTGCACTGGCAGATCCACGCAGCCCTCGCCCACGAGCGCGCGACCGGCACACCCCCCGCCGTCGTCGCCTCGACGACCGAGGCCGGCGAGCACGCGGACGCCTCGGCCCCTCCATCCCTCCCCTGGTCCCACGACGCCCTCTCCCGCCTGCTCCCCGCCCTGCAGGCGCGCCAGCGCCAGATCCGCGAGGTCGACAACCGCGACGGGCCGACGCAATGGATCTTCCAGGCCCTGCTCCGCGCGTGGAAGTTCGGCGAGGCGCCGCTCCCGGAGCGCTTCGCCTTTGTCGTCGACGCCGTGCTGCCGTTTGGCATCCGCGGGCGGCTGCGGGACTTTTACGGCATCGGCGCCGTCGTGCCGCTGGCTCGGCTGGATGTCGGGACGAAACTGGCCGAGACGAACGTCGGGGACGTGTTGACGGTGGAGATTCGGGACATGAATACGTATACTACCGAGCTCGAGGTCGAACCTGTCGGGAGAGAGGACGAGGCTGAGACTGAGGGGGCGGCTGGAGCGTAGCGTCCTCGAGGGAGTTGGCTGTTCGGAAGCGTCGGCGATCGGAGGGAGAATATTGGCTGGCGTGTCCGAATGTGTACAACACGGCTGTACGAGGTAGTCAGGGGGTCGAGGTGGCTATTGCTGGCTTGTAGCTACCGCATTGTACAAATCCTCTGTGTAAGATGGATTGTATCAACAGACGGCTGAATGAAACACACATCGGTAAAGTCTCGGCACCGCTCCATTATACGAGCACAGGACATGACATTTTCATAAATCGAACAAGGCACAGTAAATCTGGTATCATTCCATCGTATCGTCAATCCTCCGACCAAACGCAGGCTCCCCTCTCTACAGCCCAGCCAGCACGCCCTGGATCCCCACCGACGCAGCATCGTCCCGCTTCTGCACAAAGGCGCGGAAATCCGGCTTCGTCAGCTTCCGCGCCGCGACGCCCGTCGGCCCCGTCACGGCCAGGCCTCTGGACTTTTCCCGCAGCGCCTCGGGGCCGACGATGAAGAGCGAGCCGACCTCGGTCAGCAGCTCGACGGCGGCCTCGACCTCCCTGGTCAGCGAGCCAAAGGCCTTGAGGGTGGCGGCGTACTTTGAAATGTCCTGGGCGACCATGAGCCCGCCCGTGGCGTTGACCTGGAACTTCTTAAAGTGCTCAAAGAGGAGCGCCAGGACGGCGAGCGCGAGCTCCGACGCGAAGACCTCCATGTTGTGGCCGTCGACGGCCTGGCTCACCTGACGGGCGGCCTTGGCGAGGAAGGTGCTGATCTGCAGACACGTCGGGGTCTGGAGCGAGTCGAGCTCGCCGTCGCGGGGGCGGAAGTCGAGCTTCTTCTGCGAGGAGAGCGAGCGCGAGACCCAGTTGGTGAGCACGTCGATCGAGGAGCGGATGACGCTGTTTGTCTTCTTCTCGATCGTCTCGATCGACGTCCTCGTCTGCGAGGACATGTTGCGGCGAACCGTCGTGTTGGACTCTGCGAGCTTGATGAGAACGGTGGTGATGAAACGCTCCATGATGGCCGTGATGGTGACGGCCGGGCGAATCGTGGGCAGGAAGCTCATGTCAGGTTCCGTCTTTGCGTTTTCGAGAGACGAGGACTGATCGAGGGCCGCGTCGAGGCCCGTCTCGATGTAGACGTGGCCCATGGTGGACAGCAGGAGGTTGAGCAAAATGTTGACATCTTTGGGCGTCTCGACTGCGGAGCCCAGCTCCAGCGTCCGCCGCACGCTCTCGGCCAGCCACTTCATCATGCGCTTCGCGTTCTGCACCCGGAGCTGGCCGTCCTCCTCGGTGAGCTCCACTTCGTTCTTGCTGTCGCGGTTGGCTG